CTGCTCCATTTTCTCCTTCATTTCTGAAGTGGCTTCTTGTCCTATCAGAGGAAGTAAATGAGCCGAGCCTCCTTCCCTCCATCTCCTTCATTTCGTATCCTTTCAGACCCAAGGGCCAGTTTGAGTAATAGTAATTGACACATTGATCTAATAGGGCCATCATAATAGGCCTGTTACTGAGCTGGGGAATGGTGCCCGGCGTCACCTTAACATGTGCAAGGACTGACATCCCGCCATAATCCATAATGATAATTGTGATTTAGCCTTGCTTTCAACCTACGCCCCAACGTCCCCGGCATCAGGAAATCTTATTACATCTGACCCCGCATTGCCTCCATTAGAACTGGGTCATTTGTTAAAATACTGCAAAAGCAAAACAATTGAACCCTGTGCCATTTTGATTCTATAATAATGGGTTATCATTGTCCCTTTGAATCAATTTCCAGAGGCCCATTTTTCGGGATAGAGCTTTGAATTGGATTGATCGAGCTCTGATAATGCTGAAATCGATGATGTAGCCGCCTGAAAGTAAATTATCGTCGGGTGAAATTTTTGTATTAATCTTAATGCCTGTACTCTTGATCTGTAACGGTCACCGTGCTCGCAGTGTGAGGACCTTTCAAATGTTGACAGAGACTCTTAACCATCAGGACGGAAACATGAATCAGGGATTGTTCCAAACTCTTCTTTTTTCCTGTGGCACCTCTTCTATCTTCCTCAGCGAATATTCACTGGGACTGGAGGCAGGAACGCACACACACACACACACACACACACACACACACACACACACACACACACACACACACACACACACACACACACTGTATATGTGCAGTCCTGGGACAATGTCTCAGCGCCAGGCTCGGGCCGAGAGATCTGAGGGCTCACTCGGCGCCATTTCTATCCAGACTCTGGCATGGGAAACATACAACAGTGCAACACTAGTGTGTATCTGTGTGTGTGTGTGTCTGTGTGCAAGTGTGCAAGTGTGTGCATATGTGACGCATACACTCATGTATCAGTCATCAAGATGGTTGTTGGATATTGTTGCAGCAGTTACTTCATCTTGCATCTCTGGGTGTGTGTTCCTGCCTTTGTCTGCGATAAGAGAAATGAATTGTGTGTCAAAGTGTTGCCTCTGATGTTAACTAACGTGTGTGTGTGTGTGTGTGTGTGTGTGTGTGTGTGTGTGTGTGTGTGTGTGTTAGCAGTGCTGGGTGACGGCTTTATCACTGGCTGATGAAGTCCTGTTTGTGCCTCAGAATCAGGGTCCAGAACCAGATCCTCTGACGGCTGCACACACACAGTTTACATGCAGCGTTCCAGCGGACTGTGTTGACGCCATTATTGTAGGCGGAGTCTAAAGGCTCCGCTGTGGCCTGTAGCTGCAGTTATGTGGACGGATTTTCAGTGACATCCTCACTGTCCAACTTTATCTGATCACAGCAGCCAGTGACGACAGGTTTCGTCCTCCACGTATGTCATTAAGTTCATGAGGCTGCGTGAGACAGCTGCATCAGCACGGGTGTGTAAGCAGTACCACTCTCTGTGCGAGCGTGACAGCATTAAAACTTATGTATCTTATATACCTGGAGAGGCCGCTCATATATACTCCAACACTGTTATTTGTGGGCTAAGGGCCTGGGCTTTATATTAAATGCAGATGTGGTCGTGGGCGATGTCTAATACTTAAAACAAATGAGACAGATTCTTACAATGATTTTGAGTGAAATAGGTTTGAAATACACTTTGAGGTTCCTCCATGCAGACCTTACTCACACCGACCTCTCAGGGTTGTAGTTTGTGTTTCACTTATGAAACTTTTTGAGGCTTAAAAAGTTTCAGACCAGAAAAGGTTTTGAACCTCAGCCCTAACTTCTGCTCTTTCAGTCGTAGAACATGTTTCCCCTCACGGACTCTCTCCACCGATGTTTGTTTCTCAGACTCTTCCAAGTTCGGCTCTTTGTTAGCCAACACACACAGCGCAGCTTCCACAGGCCGGTTGGCATTTGCTGTTTTATTGAAAGAAAGGCTCAGTGCTTGTGAGGCATGATAAACACTGCACAAATATACATTACATTACATCTAGTCATTTGGCAGATGCTTTTATCCAAAGGCACTTACACCGAAGCTTCAGGGCAGCAGGAGACCTCGGGGTAACTTCATAATACTACGTCTATGTGATAAGTGAAGGAGATGAGGTAAAGAAGTAAAGTGAAAGTTCACAGTAAGAGCTAGTTAGACGTGTTAGGGTGTTAGAGGTGTTAGGAGAGGAGCTGCTCTCTGAAGAGATGAGTTTCCAAGAGATTGAGATAGAGAGGGACGCCCCTGCTCTGATAGCGTTTGGTAGCTTAAAGTGGTCCAATTAGTTTTGCAAAGACAGAAGAAAGTGCTTGAGAGATAAATGACAATCCTACGTAACTTCTCATCTCCACACACCTAGTGTTTTTAATGCAAGCATGTTGGAACGTCGGTTTCTGGACTTCCCTTGGTTGTGACGTCGGACAGGGGATTTCAGATGCTGCCCAACAATCTGACAAAGCACTTCATTTGAACTGTTCTGACTCCTGGATTATATTGTTCAATCTGCTGCGTTGAGACACTGGAGATAGTCACTGGTCTGATAATAACCTTTCAGATTTCTAAAATCCAGCCTCGAAGGACGACCCACACCACTGCAGTCCTTGGTGTTTTTAGCCATGCTAGCAGCGTGGCTCCGGTGATGACATCTGGTTCACGGCTTTGGTCCAGAGTGAAAATAGGTGGCTCAAACCACTGCTGGATGAATTACCGTGACGTTTTGTAGCCCGATGACTTTTCATCAAGCAAAACTAACAACATCAGCCTCAGCTGTACTTTGTGTTTAGTGCTAATTAGCAAATGATAGCATGCTCACATGCTAAACTAAGATGGGGATCATGGCAAACATTATACATCCCAGACGGACAGGAGGATAATGATGTTAACGTTAGCATGCTGACACTAGCACGTAGCTCAGAGCACTGTTGTGTGTATGTGTGTACAGAGCTCTAGCTGTTTGAAGGTGTCTTTCCAGCTCCGTTAGACTCCGATATATCTTATGAAATAGCTAATTTTCTCCACTGTTTTGCCATCGGTACTTCACAAAGTGCATGTGCATGTGTCGGAGCTTTTGAATGGGGGAAGCAGATGTTTTTCCGCCATAAAGAAGAAAAGGAGCAGCGGCGGTGATCGGGAAGGCAGACGGACCTTGACACAGCAGAGTCGGTCAGTGGAACAGGGTGTGCTGCAGGAGTATTCAACATGGCTGAGGTCATCTGTGTCTTGTAATGGATGAAAGTCCTCCCATTATGAGCTCGTCATTTGAATAATGTCCAGATTTCCCTCTGGGACTTGGCAATAGCTGTCCGCTGTTTAAACTTGTTATTTCCTAATGGTGTCTTGTGCTGGCTCTAGTCAGCAGGAAGGGGGTTTCCTCATTGATCAAGTTGTCAAATCAACCTAACCCCTTTCCTAACTCAATCATTACAATCACTTTATAATCAATGTGAGCGTGCAGCTTTTTTCTTTTTATCTTTTATAATGTCATGTTCCTTTTTTTAAACCAGAAACTCTGAATTTTGAGTCACAGTGTAAACAAAGCATACTTTGACCTTCGTTGTAATTTTGAGATCCAGCCAGCGCCTCCTGTTTGTCCATGCTAAGACTGATGAAGCATAGAAACTGCGCTCAGTATGCACAAGCAGACTAAATAGACTGTTGAAAGCACTTAGTCCTATGGCTCAAGAAACAAAACTAACACCACATTTCACCCCGGCATCCTCAGCCAACGCGGCACCACGGCCCTCGCCAAGGGTGACAGAGAGTAGAGGACCGGTAGAGGCTTTCCTTGCAGACAGAGGGAAGGGGCACAGGGGACGGGTGGTGGTGGTGGAGTCTTGCTTGATTAAGATTTATGTCTGAATGTTCCTTCGCCATCAGCCGCTGCCTGCTGTTGGGTAAGCTCCCTCATGTAACCCTCTTCTTTGCTGTGTTGATAGAAAGGCTTCTAGTAAATGTGTTGCATGACAAAGCATTTCCCCTCCTGCCCTTCATTTTACTCCCTTTCACTATGTGGACCCTCAAAGGAGGGGGGGGGGGCGGTGAGACATGGTGGAAACAAATACTGTACGAACTCTTCAGGGAGCTGCTGAGAGGAACAGTGTAGAGGTGGTTGCGGCAAAGCGTGGCTCGATGTGCAGTTTACCGGGAAGAGTTTGGATGTTCTCCTCAGACATATCCACAAAAGAAGTTTGTTTTGAAAATGCTTTAACTGGTAAACAATAAAAAACAGACTTAAAGAAACAGGAATCAGCCTTGTGGTGACTGGAGTTGTCTTTCATCTTCCCCCTGCCCAACAGAGATAGTAGAAATGAATTATTCATGCAGTACATGGTGGATACATCACCTTTGTTCTGAGTTGTTATTTGGAAAGAGATGGAAAGTGTGTGAACGGTGCATAACAGTAAAGATAGTAAGAATAAAGAAAGATAAAGTACTGCAAGTCGGGTAGCTTAAATAGAAAAGTTTAACAATTAAATATTTACAATAAAATGTAAAAAAAAAACGTAATAAAATATAAATGTGTTTGACTCGTGAGCGGGTCGAGCGGGTGTAAAGGCGGGACCTCGATCACGGCCGTGCAGCGGGGAGCGCGTGTACCCAGGATCCTTCTGCTTCATTTTTTGTACAGCTGGAGGAAGTGGAGACGCGTCATCCGTCTTTATAAACTGTCATCAGCTAAAACTGGGTGTTAAGTTACTCTCTGAAAATAACAAGCCAACAAACGGAGGACAGCCAGTGTCAGAAGAGAGATGACACTCAGTCTTACTCCAAGACAGATTTTTAAATGTTTGAACATTGTAATATTTAAATTCTATAAACCATCTCTACTGGTTACTGTTTTAACTAAATGCCTGTGTTTGCATAAAGTGTTTAAAAAACCGACTATATGCATTTTCTTTTCCCTCTGTTTCCAGGACGAGCCCTCCCTACTGCTGCGCTGACCTGTACTCTCTACGCACAGGGGAGATGGTCAAATCCATTCAGTTCAAGACGCCTATCTATGACCTCCACTGCAACAAACAGTATGCTGGACCAACTTCATATTTTATGATGCATTGCCAGTTTATTTCCGTCTGTATTAACGGACTGTTTCCTCCCTCCTCCAGTATTCTTGTTGTGAGCCTACAGGAGAAGATCGCAGCGTTCGACAGCTGCACCTTCACCAAGAAGTTCTTTGTTACAAGTAAGAAATTAAGACTCTCACGGTGTCGGATATTTTTCATTAAATTTTCAGTTTGTTAATCTGTTATGGGTGTTTAACCCCTGTTAAATGTCCTAACCCTCCACTCAGTCTCTGGCAAGAAAAGGAGGAAAATCAAATGTGAAATGTTAATATTTTATCGCCAGTGGAAACGCGTATTTGTGAAATGTGCTCTGTGCCATATGCAGCAGTGCAAACAAACAGCGCCTGTTACGTAAGTTTACACTAACATTCCCAAACACGCCATAGTGCAGCACTCTCTAGCTTTTATCTGAATTCGATGTGAAGTCGTCCATTTGAAGCTGAAACTGTTTACAGCACCGCGCCCGCATCCTCCCGGCTGTACCTGCCATGTCTGCTGAAGGATCCTGCGAAAGAAAGGCCAGACTGTATTACAAGGCCATTGCTGTCCACTTAAGTCATTGACTGGAGTAAACTGACCTTACTGGCTGGCTTTAATGTGTCTCCTCTTTGTCTGCCTGCCTTCCATATCAGTGTCTGGGCCACAGGAAACCAAACATGCTCAATAGTTATTAATCGTTTCTGAACGCATGGGCCTCCTCTTCGTAACGTTGTTTGGTCTGTTTGGGGCCCTAAAAGCAGTAAACAAAGGGCTCTGTGATGTGCGCCGAAGCTCTGCGTCGGACGAGCCGCTCTCCACTGTCGCACGTCCAGCTCTCCGGGGACGTGATGGCGGAGAGAGAGAGAGAGAGATGTCGTGTTTTTATGAGCACTCAAGGCTTGTTCCGTGTTTATGTTCTTGCGTTGTGTTCAAGTGCTGCGAGCCAGGACTCGAGTCACCACCTGCAGACACACTTTCTGTTTCCTGCTCGTCTCGACTCCACGTCCTCGTCCAGCTTCAACACCCGGCAATCACGGTTCGGTAGCTGGTGTTGTTTTGGTGCAGTAAACCAACGTCGGCGGCTGCTGGTGGTATTAACTGTACGAGCTTGTGACTCCACTGTTTCTGAGAAAAACAGAAAAGAAGACATAATTTCTGATCAGACTTATCAGCGGTCACACACTGTAGTGTGCAATTACTGGATGGAAGTAAGTTTCTAGGCCCTCGAATCGTTTTAAGCTCTTCCTTTTTTACAAATCACTTTGTACACATACACGCATCGCAATGTTCAGCTTCTGCTAATTAAACCTATTAAACCTTAAATCTAAGAGCTACAAGTTACACTCATGAATGAAAGCTGCCATTCTCCGTTTTCCCATCACGGCTTTCTGATTTTTCCCAACAACTCACATACTGGCTTCACATTTGTAGCTGGATGATTTCATCCCTCTTATCTTCTGAGATGATTAAATGTCAGATTTTTTTCTTTAGCTGAATTATAGAATTGGCCTGAAACAAGCCAAAACATTCAGGATGGAGTCGTTCCACTAATGACACTAACATCAGAAATGCCTCTGATGCTTCCTAGAATACTGTATCGTGTGTCGGCGAGTACGCAGCCTGTGTACTGATCTGATACCAAGTCATTTATTAATTGGATAAAATGGTAGTTTTCCCCTGGGAAATCAATTCTTCTTTGCTGCTCTAAAATGGCAGCCTGCGCAGGAAGTTGTGCTGTGCAGCCACTTAACTGCTGTTTTAGAGCAGCGAAGAAAAATTGATTTCCGGTAAATAGTGCAACGTTAGCCGTTAGCAAAATGGCAGCTATTTGGCAACGTGTTAGACTGGACGGGCAGCGACTAGCGTATGACTGACAGCTAAATGAACGTGCTCGACCTTCAGACCTTCAGACGTGCTCGCTCCACTGTGTGGGACAGCGAAGAACTCGTGCTGCACATTTTCTCGTGCAGATCTGCTCCGTTTTTATCCTCATCACTCCAATGTATTTTATTCATTTCTTATTTATTGCAGATTTTTCCTTTGGACAGTGTGAGCTCATCTCGCACCGTCTGCTGTGTTTCACGTTGATCGTCAAGCGCGCGATGGTTTCAACCATAAGGAGTTTGTTGGTGAGAAAAGCTGTTGGCTGGAGCCTGTAAATTGTAGAGGAAACACAGGATATATTTTATGGCCTCGATACAGATTGAAAAGAAAAAAAAACTCAGTTACTATTTTGGTGTTTTTGGTTTGGTTCGGGTTTTTGTTTCTGACCGAGAGAAACACTTAAAACGTGGAGTATCAGAATATGAGGATCGGCTGTTGCCACGTTCACAAAGGTCCTTCAGGGTTCGGCCTTCAGACGCCTGAACGCTGCTTTCTCTCCCTTTGATTCCACCCATCGCGTCTGTTTCCTCTCCCCACTCGGCTCCCTGCTCTCCACCCAGGATGTCAAACACATGTTATCTCACCGCCCGGGCTCCGCTTGGCCTTGGAGAGGCACAAAAGGCTTCTCTGGCGCTACCAACAACCCTTGTGGCTTACCTCAACAGCCCCCCCCCCCCCCCCCCCCCTCCCCCATCCCTACCCACCCCACCCACCCACCCTCCAACACAGCACACACTGCATTACTGTCTGCCTCCACCTCATCTGCTCCCAGAGCACTAAATTATTGTCAGCAAGGCCCCCCCACCCACAACCTCCGTGCATTAGCTCAGTGTATGTGTGTGTGTGTGTGTGTGTGTGTGGCGATGTTCTCGAACGCAGCGTGTGTTTAGGCGTGCTGGAGCTCAGTTTTGGTGTTAGTCATAGATCGCGATGTGCTCTTGTTTGTCTTGCAGTTGTTTACCTCCACATCTGTTTGAGTGGGAAGAGAAGACAAGACATTTATCTGTTTGTGAACACAGCGTTTTGTTTGTCGTTCGGAGAATATTGGTCGCTATTTTTATTTCTGCTGACAGCACGCTGGTTGTGTTTGCGAGTAAATGTGTGTGTGTGTGTGTTTGTGTCCCCTCAGGGATTATCGTGCCGGTCAATCAGCAGAGGAGCCATCCTCAATTTATTGGGTACCACAGTCTCCATTAGGTCATACTGTGCACACACACATGTACAGACACGTCACCCTCATTAGCCTCCCATTTATCTTCCCAAACAAGAGGCTCCCCACAAACACATTAATGGTTTAAGATAGTTACAGACACTCTCCCGGTGGGGGGGGGGGGTCATGAAAACCCCTGCACACATGTTTGTTTTTGTATTTTTTGTATTTTATTTGCTAAAATGTATATGAAGGTTTATTCGTGTTGTAATTATCACCGGTGCGTCTGTTAGCGTGTCTGTCTTTGTGTGTTCTCAGGCTGCTACCCCTGCCCCGGCCCCAGCCTCAATCCAATATCTCTGGGAAGCCGCTGGCTAGCCTACGCCGAGAACAAGGTAGTCTACACACACACACACACACACACACACACATGCTCGTCCATATCAGAAAAAGCGACATATTTACAATCCACAAAAAAAAAAAAGCCTTTTTATCTATTTCCTGCCTCTTTAATCTCTCTGGATAAACAACTCATTCCAAGAAGAGTCCACTAGAGATGATAACATTTTGAAAATCAACAGATGCAGGAGTTTTTCTGTTCTCCTCTGTTTAATGGGATTGTTAAGTATTTACAAAAAAAAAAAAAACCAGAATGTCGTATTGCGCACTCCTGCAATACATTTAATGCATAATAGTGTTTTGGCACTGGCCCACTCAAGTAATTGACAGATGGGGCCACTGTTTGTGTGACTGCCTAAGGATTTCCAGAAATGACCAAATGTAGTTTTGTGAAGAGTAAGAGTAATACTGGGACAGGAGCATTGGAGAGATATTGTATTTGAAATATAATCAGTGCAGATTGGCCGTTTGGTTGTGCAACGTTTCTTTGAACGGAAAATCAATTTCTCAGATGAGTGAAGAGTGGAAACCTTTTGGATGTCTAAAAATCTCGGTGTCCCCCCCCCCCCAAGTTCTTCCTCAGGGTATGTCGTGTATTTATCTGTAAATCTCCGTGTGTTTGCAGTTGATAAGATGTCACCAGTCTCGTGGTGGAGCTTGTGGTGACAACGCACAGTCTTATACAGCTACAGTGATCAATGCTGCCAAAGTAAGTGACGATACAGAGACACATACATGCACATTTCACATACATATACTTTAGGTTACGTGGTTGAATAGAGCTGAATTGATGCACATCACAAACAAATCTTGAGTAGTGTGAAATACTTATCACAGCTCCACATGTTTAGTTGCATCATAAACTAATTTTAAATATCTCAGGAGACACTGACGCTCTTCTTCTTCTTCTTCTTTTAACTTTCCGTTTCCTGGTTTGATGCATGCCTTGTTTTGGGTCACAGTTTGTTGTGTGTCTAGAACAACAGGAGACACACAGGAAAAGCAGATAATAACATTTCTGTCAGTAAATGTAAATATCAAATGGCTCATTGGTCGTAATTCTTGCTGAAACTGTAAAAGACGAGGCATCAAATGTGCCATAAAATCACCAACACAAACCAACACAACACAATTACAACGTTATTAAGGTGTTTGCCTCGTTAGCAGGTATCGTTAACGAGCTATAAACAAATCCCTCGATTTTTGAACAGAAGAAGAACATGAAAATATTTAGCCATTGATTAGAGCTTCTAGTGTGAACGAAGATCTTTGAGTTGAAGAGCGTTTCCAGATTTAGCTGGTTCACTGCAGATGGAGCTTTAAATGCTAACAAACAAGCTAGCTAGTGTACGCTCATGTAAAGGCCAGGGTTCTTTTAGACATCATAACTTACTTACATCTGTTGTCAGCGGTCCGGTTTCATAAATCACTCATGAAAATAACTTTGAGATCAACCTGTCAGAGTTGAACAGAGTGCGGATTCTGTTGTCACTTCCCAGAATTCCTTGCAGGATAGGACTTTTATCACCCAATAGAAGAGCAGCAGAGAGAACATTTGTCAATTTACCTTATTAACCAAACTTAGAAGAAAAACTGACGAGTGTAGAGACACAGTGAGAAGCACAAAGAAAAAGAGAATTCATGCTGTGGCTTTTAGATGCTCATCACGTTTCTTTGCATTTCACATTGTGGTTCTGTGTCATATCTTTGAATCGCAGCTCATGTTGGCTGGTAAGCTCTTCCAAATTCCTCTGTGTTTTTTTAATTTTATTTTTTATCAGTGGACAAAATTAACCTTAGACTTGCAGCTTTGGTCTCTCAGTTGCATTCACCGTACAGAGGACACTTATGAGCTGTACGTCCGGCAGCTAAGCCCGGTTAGCTCGTTGACTAGCACGGTTTAGCTAACAGCTAAAGACAAGACAACACCCGACCCACTGCCAGAGCTCTCTGGGCGGAACGTGTTATTCATACGGCAAGATAAAGTGTGTGAGGCTAACACTGCCAACGGACTCTGCTGTTTACTGTAAACATACACGTTTCTAAGATGTATTATCATAAGCTACCTTCACAAAGTTTTTACTGGATATCAGTGCAAAGACAGAACGCTGCTCTGGTCTGTCTTCAGCCACGGCTCAGATAAAAAAAGAAGCACATAATACAGTATTCCAGGCTCTGCCTACACCATCTGTAAATGTGCTGACATTGGATCCACCTGGCTCTCCTGGCTAACTGGTGCTGAGCTTATGAGACACTTCATCAACCTGCCTATCTGTTTTTTTACCTCTGTAATCTGCGTCTCTCCTCTGGTCTTGTTTCACTCATCTCCACGGGGGAGAGACTCTAAGATGGCTCACTAACAGCCAGCAGCCCCCTTTGATACCAGATGACATTCACTCCTGGTCTGATTTAGCTGCTTGAAAACACATGCTAACTAGCTAGCTCCTCATATGGTTCTAGTCTTGTTTCTCCATTCAGTCCCAGAGGAAGGGCTAATTGATTTACAAAGAGCAAGTGTATCCCTTCCCTGCTTAATGAGTGCCAACAGCTAGTGTGAGAGAAGTCTCGTTAGCAGGCTAATGACAGTGTACATCAAAAAGAGCACTGTGTCGCTAACAGATTAGCGGCATGGTAAGGGGGTAGACAATGGCGGGGGGTATTGATATGCAGACAGGCAGTCTGCTCGCCTGCCCTCTCCTCATTTAGGACCATATATCTCAATATGGATGACAAGGTATCTCCTTCTGGCTTGTGGCGCGACACGCCGGCTCTTAGTGCTGACGTCCAGAGACATGGAAACAAGAAAAAAAGGGGGGGAGGAGGGAGGGCAGCATTAAATTGTAATGGCTTTTGTTTATAAGAAGAATAGAAGAGAAGAGAGAGTCCAACAGCTCTGACCAGCTGACCTCCCTGATCCGGACCTGCTCAGTCCTGGTCCCGCTCGGTCCTGGGTGCATGACTGAGACAAACCCTTTCACATGAATTAGGTTGTAATTTGTTTAGATGGCGACATCAGGTCATAACTGTGTGTGTGTCTGTGTGTGTGTGAGTGTTAGTGTTCATGTGCTTCTTAGACATGATCCTCCAGACCCCCCCCCACCCCACCACCACCACCACCACCACCACCACCACCACCACCCCACATGAATTAGGTTGTAATTTGTTTAGATGGCGACATCAGGTCATAACTGTGTGTGTGTCTGTGTGTGTGTGAGTGTTAGTGTTCATGTGCTTCTTAGACATGATCCTCCAGACCCCCCCCCACCCCACCACCACCACCACCACCACCACCACCACCCCTCCACCGGGAGATCAATAGCCCCTGTTTGGACTACCACTAAGAACTCCACAACTGCAGTGATTAGAAAACACATTAGTGTTGATCAATTAGGAGCCAAACGCCTCACTTAATAATTGATGGCTCTTGTGGAATTTTACACACACACACACACACACACACAAGCGAAGGTGTACGCACACGCACACACAGGCAGCAGACACTGTTAGTGTGCTCTGGCCGAGTGGCAAAGAGAGACAGTGGGTGATCCTCAGACCCAACAAACGTGAGGCGCCACGCACTATTGACAGGGCCGCCTAGTCTGAATGCCTGATTAGGCTCTCCGGGGCCCCTTTTGCGCTTACACACACAAAGACACACAGTCACACGCATTGGACTCCATTAGCCGAAGACAGTGTAGTAGGTGAGATAGACTCCACTTAAGCAGCACTATCCATTTCCCTCAATCGAGCCACAGAGGTGTGTTTGAGCCAGACACCCTGGCTGGGCCTTAAACGGACACAGAGGAGCCTCACACACACACACACACACACACACACACACACACACTACTAACACATACACTACTAACACACACACACACACTTACATGCACATACACTAGGGTGTCTCGTGTGGCTACAGTGCTTCAAGTCATCAGCACTACAAGTTATCAGCAGGCATCAAGTGCTGCACACACACACACACACACACACACACAGACACAGTCAATTATAAAATACAGTATATATATATATCACATATTATATTACAGGTCTAATCCGTTTGTTTCTTTGCTCCTCCAGACTTTAAAGACAGGCCTGACAATGGTGGGTAAAGTGGTCACCCAGCTGGCGGGCACCCTCCCCGCCGGCACTCCGGACGAGGAAGGCACGCCTCACAGCACGAGCCGCCGCAGCCCCCACAACCCCGGCGTGGTCACCATCATCGACACGCACAGCGTCGGCGAAGGACAGGTCAGTGGTTTTTTTGTTTTTTTTTGCAACTTAAATATAAGTGGTTCAGACGTTTGTGTCCAGTCTTTTAACTGTAGAGCAGTTTTCTGCTCTGATGGATGTGAGGTGCAGATGAAACGGACCTTGGTGCCAGGTATTCATGTTCATGTTCCCCCCAGTGAAATGGGAACTTTGATCAATATGTAACTTCCCACCAGTGAGAAAGAATCATCCAGAAACTTCAGCTCAGTATCAATAGAAATAAACCATGAAGAACTGACATCACTGTCATTGACATTTACATTAGATAAACACTCTGCACCACCATCATCGAAACAAATGAAGGGATACACAGTCAGAACAATATCAGTAACTCACACTGTACACGTTAGTTTATATCTTTAGTATTTCATCTTGGTGCAGAGTTACAGGCCGAGCCCTTCAGTTTCACTGTGACTCTTGAATCGAGGCGGAAGATGGATTAGGTTCTTGAAAACTTGACAGCGCCCCCCCTCCCCTCCCCTCCCCTCCCCCGCATCGCATCCCAGGACAACCTCAGACTAAAACCGGTCTGAGCTTACTCCCTTTTTGGATCCTGCTCGGTGGTTAACCAGAAACTGTTGCCTTTTATATTCATAATGCATGGATACACACACACACACACACACACACACACACACACACACACACACACACACACACACACACACACAAACACGCCAAAGATTAAATTGGCACCAATTAGTTCTTGGCGTTCTCGTCTCTGGTCGTGTCGTGTGTGACCCAGGTAAACACGACTCCGGTCTCTGCGGCTTGGTGGGAAACAGGAAAATCTCCAAGCTCTGCTTTTTTTTTTTTTTTTTTTTTTTTTTTTTCTCTCTCTCCTGCGGCTTGGACACACTCAGGCTCATTCACCTCACGCCGCACAGCTCGCCCTGAAAGGTGTGACTTAGATTCGCTGCATATTTTAACAGCCAGGCTTTTAGCCACAAAACCTGGCTCTCACAGCGGAGAGAGAGCGACGCTCTGTAAACAGTCAGCTGTTGGTCTGCACCGACGGGAACCTCACATGAAGCTCAAGAGCGCGCCGCATGTTCATTTGTCCATTTTTATTCGTTTCTAGACGTTTAGTTCTGAGTGAAAAAATGATGGCGCTAAAAGAAAAGAGAGAGTAGATTTTAGACGTACAGGAAACCAAAGAAATCTGAATCAGATCAGTATTTGCTTCGCCAGATCGTCTGTTGCAGAACTCCACGTTCTTCTTGTCACAGACGGTAGATCTTTATGATTCTGGAACCGTGGAGGTGACAAGACAGTTCTACGGTCACTCAGATAACCACTCTTTAACGCCCGTGGTGAGCAGAGAAGCGTCAGGGTGAGACGACGCGTCCGGCCTTCGACGGCAGAAGACCACGTCAGGTTCCACTTCCTGTCACCAAGAACAGAAACCTGAGGCTGCAGCGGACTCACTCACTCACTCACTCACTCACTCACTCACTCACTCACTCAGAGTTCGACTCCCTGGATCCGACCTGCCTCGTGTGAACAGTCCAGGTTTCCAGGTTCATGGTTCCCCTTGACGGCCGCAGTTCACCATCAAAGATAACGTCGTCTCAGACTGGTTTCATCAACGTGACCGTGAGGTTAATGAACTTCAGTGTCCCGTCCTGTGAAGAACTGACGACCCAGTGTTAGTGAGGTGTTCCTAATAAAGCGCTCAGTGTCTACGTGGATCACGGAGTATTTCGTTCTAACCCAGGTCACGGTTTGAACCTCGCCAGTCGCCTTCAGCAGGATCTCCCTTAGTGTTTACAGAAATGCTGAAAACTTTTATCCTGAAATTCTCCTCGGCCACTCTAAACCACGATTAATCATACTGCAGTAGCTGTCACGTTTTTTAATGAGGCATGTTAGCATAAATAGTACAGTTTGTCAGTGATGTAGTCACCACACACACACACTCACACACACACACACACACACACTCGCTGCCTTCTCCTTCTCCCTTACACAGCGACTGTTAGCCGCCGCGCAGCCTCTGCAGAGTGTTGTCTTATAAGCGAGACCCTAAGCTTTCAGGAGCAGGCCTGCACTCTGTCACCGGCCGACACACTGTAACCGTACACTGGCCATAAACACTGACTAGGCCAGGAGGGCAGGGAGCGGAGCGAGCTGGGGAGTGCAGGAGAAATGGAGGGTGAAGGAGGAGGGAGAAGCAGCAGAGAGTGAAACTGGATCGCAGGTTTTGGGATGTGATTTTTTTTTTTTTTTTTTGCTTGGTAGAAATGGGAATGTGCAGGAATATGACAGAGGCGAGTTCCTGTGTCACTGTGGTAGCTCGGGATATTCCCATCTCTTCCTGGATTTGAAATTCCTTATTTGGAACAGCAGCTTCATAACACACACACACACACACACACACACACACACTCTCTCTCCCCGCTGTGTAACAGGGGCTCGGTTCTCTGGAGGACACTCTTGTTTCAAAGGGCTCCAGCAGGATTCCCTCACAGAACAACATTGTCTGCCTGCAGTGTAATAAAAGTGATCTGCTTCATGTCACCAGCCTCTTTCCTTCTCTCTGTTCTCCCGCTTTTTTCTCTTCTTCTGCTTATTTTCTTGCTTGTAGTCTGAGATGAAGCCTACCACGATCTCTCTCTCTCTCTCTCTCTCTCTCACTCACACTTACTCTTGCTCAATCTGGCCTCATGTCTGGTCTCATTTCTAATCTGTTTTTGTAACTGAAGGGGGGGTGGTGGTGGTGGTGGTGGTGGTGGGGGGGGGTCCTGGTCTGGTCTGGTCTGGGCTCAGCCTTTTGTTAGACTCGTCCCCGCTCTTCACAACAGACTTCGGTTGGAGATTTTGGAACAGTCCGTTGACGCCAGTTTCTGCCTGTTTACGGGAAAACCTGCCGTCATGGGGTATTGTCAAAGCCACATGTGAAAAGCCACATTATTGCCAAAGTAAATTTGTCCATATTTTCGTCTCGGTTGTTTGACCGTATACCGCATCCTCACTGGTCTGAGCGCAGCCCCTCACTGGAGGACCAGCGCTCAGAGATTTTGATGATTCATAAGAGAGACAGAGACAGAGAGAGAGAGAGAGAGAGGTTTAGTTTTTGTTCGTCTTCCTCTTCCCTGCCTGTCAGGTAATATGCTAATTGTTCTCTATCCACAAGAGGGCAATGGCACATTCAGGAATGAGTTCAACCTCCAGCTATTTAACTGTGGACTGCTGTGATGATATCAGCCCCAACCAAAACCTGCAGAGAAATCCTTGAGCAGGAGGGGGAAAGTCCCACTCTGGGTTTAATGTTCACATTGTTAGAGAATGATTTGGACTTTCTTTGTGTGCGTGTGTGTGTGTGTGTGTGTGTGGTGTGGCGTGTGTGTGTGGTGTGGCGTGTGTGTGTGTGTGTGCGTGTGCACTACAGGTCTTGGTGAGTGAGGACTCGGACGGAGAGGGAGTGGTGGCTCACTTCCCAGCTCATGACAAACCCATATCCTGCATGCAATTCAACCCCAGTGGTAAGACGCACTCGCACACCCAGTCACTCACTCGCACGTACACACTCACTCACACACACACTCACTCACACACACACACACACACACACACACACACACTTTCACTCTTGAGGAAGGAGCTGGAATACTCTGCAAGTACTGAAGACAGAAAGCAGGCGATATTATATTTCCTTAAGGTTAAATGAGAGACTGAAATACAGCTGCAGTGATAATTTACACCTAACCTGAATCACTAGAGCAAATCTATTTATTTGGTTTCTATAGAAAACCTCCCCTGACATTTCTGGCTGGATGCAGCCTGATTATGGAGAAGAGTTATGGAAGGTTTGACTATTGATGATAGAAGTCTTTTTTTTTAATGCATGGTCAGTTATATAAACATATATATTAATATATATGATGCAGAAGATGCTGAAACTAATGGAGCAAAGCTTTTAAAAACATGATAAAAGGGCTTATTTTAAATGATATGAAAAGCTGAGTGCATTATGTAGAATGTCTTTAACAAGTCTTACTCCCCAGCACTGACGCACTGTGAACAGAAGACACTGTCAGATTGCAGCACAGACATTTTTGCAATTTCAGGTTTTTACCATTTTACCAACCGTTTCCATGTTTAATTTTATAAATGAAGAAAATTAGATTTAGATTAAAATTTTTACAAAAAATAAAAAACAGTGCAACAATATACACGATGCAATAAAACACAGAACACTTTAAAATGACAATTTTCATGTGCAAATTCAGCAGGGTTAAATCATACATACTTTTTATTTTTTTTAATTGTATTAATTTAAAGTGAATGGCAGACAGCCAGGATAACGGTGTGTAAACAGTGTCTGCATCACCTGGGGGTTTACTGAAACAGGTAGGTCCTGACAAGTGCCTCTCTCGCTCGTCTTGTATTTGTGGGACTTTGATTCAGACCCTGCAGATGGAACATCAGGGGGTTTAGAGGGTTTGTCGTTTTTCTCTCTCTCCGCCGCCGTTTCTGTTAAATAGAGGTCACTCAGGTGACCAACTGGTCCTTGAGACAGCAGGGAGAAAAAAAAAAAAAAAATCTAAACTATTTACCTGTTTCAACACGGCGCTGATGTGCTCAGTGAGTGAATGCATCAGTGTGAGTGTTTCACTCTCCTTTCCCGCTTTCTTAGCTTCGCCGACCTCCGCCCCACAAAACACAGGGACAGTAGAAGCTTTGTGAGTGTGAGCAGGCTGCCTTGTCAGTCCGTGTCGTACACGTTAGCTTGTGTACGTCCCACTGTTGCTCCTGTGATGTGTGTGTGTGTGTGTGTGTGTGTTGTGTGTGTGTGCGTGCAGTTAATAAAGGAGCTGTTGAGCGACGGGTCTCACCTCGTGACCTCCAAGCCCCAAGAATCCTTCACCTACCCAGAACCTCTGACTAAACTTAGCAGCTCCTTCTGAGCAGGAACAGGATGATATTGAAGACAAAGACAGACAAGACGTGGTTGTCCAGACCCTGTCTCCCCCCCACCCTCACCCTCACCCTCACCCCCACCTCACCAAACATCACAGCAAAAAACACAACCCAGCTCAGTACGATTAATGACACAGAATCTGCTGAAAGGAACGCTGAAGTGCTGCAGATGTGCTCGGGACAGACGTGTTTTAATGTCTACCAGCTCTAATCTGCATAGTGCTAAAGGTTTAAACAGATAATGGCATCAACAGCTGCAGAAGATGTCTGTCATCTTCTTTCCTTCTTGGATATTCATTCATCGAGAGACGACGCTCAAGAGGAAAGTTCAGAATAAACACTTAGAGTAATCATTGATTTCTAATGTGGTGGCTCGCTTCCAGTTCCCCCGAAGCACAGTGCATCACTGTTATTGATATGATGTAATGTGGATCCCGTCATCCACTCAACAACAGTTTTCTTGGTAACCAGTTACTGGGTGTTGCCTGCTCGTCCTTGGGAGAAATGATGCCATCAGGTAGCTGTAGAGCTGAACTTGCACAGCGTGAACCACAATCAATACACTTTTAGAACTCGAGTAGTTTATGTCGACAAAGTAGATTCTAGTTTGTTGTGCACATGCACAGTTTGGATGGAAGAATCAGAGGTGCGACCAACTGATGAGCAAAACAGAAGTTTCTTAAAGCAGCGTTTTCTCATCAAAGACCCATAAACTGATATAAATATAAATTCGACCACGGACCCCCGTGATATTGAGGCTTCAGCCGGTCTGTTTCACACGTTTCAACAGAATATTTTACTCTACTTTCATATCTGTAGTGTGTTGTGATTTTTATGATAATTAAAACGTGCTATTTAATTACACTGTACATGTAAAAACCCAAGTTGCTTTGTACTGGAACTGAGTCAAACTGCGTCGTCACTGTTGAATAAATAGATAAACTGCTCCTAAACTTTGTCCTTCCAGCATCTAATAAGTTTCTTAGTGGAGAACAAAACCGAGCTAAAAGGAAATTTAATAATCTTGCTCCTGTTTTTAAAAATAAATCTGGCTCTGGTTTGGCGTCATTACAGCAGAAGACAGTGATTCACGGGTTCCATCAGTGACACTGTCCTCTCGCTTTGCCCCGTGAACGCAGCCCGGTGTCGTACATCTGGTTGTGAGTTCCAGTGTGTTGTTAGCTGCTGAGTCAGAGAGCCGACAGATTCCCCCGTGACACTTTCCACAGTCAACTTCAAAACTCCAAACGCACTCTAAATCTTTCTGACTCATTTACTCTGAGCCAAATCTAAAGGACTAATAAATGTTTGAATTGCACCAGAAGTGGAGCCAAAAAACACAGGTTTCCTCTTTTTTTTTTTTTTTTTTTCATTGCAGTCGGGCCGTGTAATGAGATTAGGATGAATCTCAACACAGGCGTAGAATCTCCTCTTTCTCCAACGCAGGAAATCCTTTCATCACTGTTTATTCTTTTATCCATTTTCGTGTCTAAGCCGCCTGTTGTGGAGTGTCCTATAATTAGAGGCCTCTTGATTTGATCAGAACCCAAAACCCCTGAGTGACGGGTTCATTGGTCTGGCTCTAAGTGAACTCCTTCCAGTGGAGTTAGGGGAAGTGACTTTTACTGAACTACCTTCCTCAACCCTCCCGAGACTCCCCTCCGCAGCGGTCAAGCTCGACATGGCAGAAACAAGAAAGATAGATTTACCAGGAAACAATGATATGACTCAAACAGAGCCTGGAAAGCCCACAAGTTTTGGCTGGGAAGAGTTATGTAAGAAACCTCCAGTGGCTTGTGTGTGTTGGAGGCTCTACAGAGGGCGGGCCGGTGGCCGCCAGTTTCTTGGTGTGGCGGCTGGCGCGTTGCAGCGCTTCGGTGGATCTGTGGATCTATTCCTAGTGGTGTAATTAGAGGGACGCAGATGAAGTGCAGTGGCAGAGCACTCTCTCTTTAACAGCTGCAATGTGTGTGTGCTTGTTTTCTTTCTCGTCTCGTCCTCCTCACTCGTCCTTAACGATCCTTGACTTGATTAATAGGTACGGTGCCAAGGTCAAAATACACTCGTGTTTTGATGGCAGATATATTGTCCAACAACTTGTGCATTTCTTTTTGACCGTGAGTGGCACTAGATGGAGTGATTGATCCAGCGACCGCGCGAAGGCAGCACCCTCTGGGTTTTTATTCTCTCCTCAGTCCGGATCCGTCTGGTCTGGATCTGGAGTTTCAACACGCAGCGGTGGAGGAAGCGTTCAGATACCTGGTCAAAGCAGCAACACCACAACGTAAACATGTTCATTACCAGTCGTAAATTACACAAATATTATAAGAAAGATATACTGACGTATGAGAACTCAATGGAAAACAGCTCATTTTAGAATAAATAACATTATAATAACATGGAGCTCATACTGCTTTATGTTCTGTTGGGTAGTTTAATCCGTTAAAATGCGTCATATTTTATGATATGATCAAAGGGGCTTAATTCCTCTTGGGTTGGGGGCCGCGTTTCCCCCCTTACTTTAACAAATCCTGTTTTTCTTTCTGCCAGTTTTTCCAGTTAAAGTTTGATTTACTCTCTGTTGTTTAGAGCTGAAACCATTCGTCAGTTCACTGATTAGCCAATAGTCATAAAATTAATCTGCAACTATTTTTTTCAAGCACAGAAACGTCCGTTAGTTCTGAGTTAAGACATTTGACGACTTCACCAGCCAAATGATTGAGGGATCAATTAGGGAAATATTTGTCAAATTAGTCAATAATCAATATGATAGTTTAGTTTTCTCTCCTGGGTTTTTCCTCTCAGGCTACAGACGGGTTCCACACCTGCTGATGGGTGGAGGTTTCTGGGGCCCAGGTGTCAAAGGGAAACTTCCGCCTCTTTTTCATGATTTTCAGGGACAATAAAAACATTTAATCTATGTTTTTTGAATTACTACACAGATGTCAAGCTCTGTTGTTAAATAAAGATGCAGTCTCAATATAATTTATCATTAAGTATCGAGACTCAGTGACCTTTTTCTTTTTTTGTTAGACTGCAGTTTTTATGGAAAGTGTTTCGTAGTTTGTTACGCCGGTTTATTTTCTTTGACCACAGACGCTGGAAATTAAGTGAAAAAATCTCTCTGTGCATTTTTTACCTTGTGCCGAGTTTTTATAGACAACATTCACATCAGACTTGTGCCATGTTGAAAGTACCAGGTCCAAACGTGTCTTGACTTTTAAATAAATGTGACCCAGACGTTTATTTATACATGAGAAATTGCTGTCACATTTACGTGAGGAGCTGCATGTGTGAAGGGTTTGTAACCACAGCTTTCAAATAAATGTAAAGAAGTATAAAAAGCGGTAGAACAATATTCAATATCGTGGTAATACTCCAGAATGTGTGGTATTCGATTAGATGTAGTTTCCACCCCCCCAGAGTTGGTTGTGGGTGGATGGTCATATATTATAAAATAGTCCCGGTGACATACGTCCGGCCACGTAATTGCTGCCTGGATTATGTTCAGAGGCAACGTCCTCGTTATGTTAATAGAAAATGTAATCAATATCACAACACG